CTCCGGGCAGCGGTGGCGCACGCCTCTAATCCCAGCACTCGGGAGGCAGAGGCAGGCGGATCTCTGTTGAGTTCGAGGCCAGCCCGGTCTACAAGAGCTAGTTCCAGGACAGGCTCCAAAGCTACAGAGAAACCCTGTCTCGAAAAACAAAACAAAACAAAACAAAAAAAAAAAAGAAAGAAAGAAAGAAAGAAAAAGAAAATGCCAGAAATTCCTTTGGTTAGATGATTTGCAGTCAGAAAATCTAGACATTCCTGACACATTTTTTTGCTTGAATATTTGATTTCTAAGTTAAGTCCAGTGACACAACAGAACATACACAGAGGCAAAGACTATATATAACTTTTCCTACTTGCCACCTATTTGTATATCATATGCATGATGTCCTGAGCCGAGACATACATGTATTATGAGGTATAGTAAATCAGATCAAATGAGCACAGAACAAGTATGTTGCATCTGTGACTGAGGTGCTAACAATTCTAAGATGCTAAGATCTCCGTTTGAATTGGAATTTGCTGTAGGTGCAGAAAGAAGGTGGTAGTATCCAAAAAATACAAGTAAGCAAAGAATTCTATCATATCCCTTCTTGCTCATGTTTCTGTGATCAATCATTTTTCTGAAAATAACATACAAAGAGCAATCTAGAGTTTTTTTTTAGTCTTTACTTACTTATCAGTAAGCAGAAGGTAGAGAATATTGTTAGAACATATACAAAAGAAGGGAAATAAAAATAGTTGAGTTTGTTTTGTGCTGAGTTTACAAAGTTGTGACATCATAAATACATATGGATGTAGAAGTCATGAAATTCCAATTAGGTAATTTTGGTGATTCCACATATGAGTGAAATACTGTTATATTTGCATTTAAAATTGCTTTGTACAATATAAAGATGAATGGTGCAATTCATCATAAGAATTTAAAGTTTCATTCCCCCCCTTAAACTGACATTAAAAAGCAAACTGATACAGAGAAACCCTGTCTCGAAAAACCAAAAAAAAAAAAAAAAAAAAAAAAAAAGCAAATTGAATTGGGGATAGTACTGTATGCCTATAACCCTAGAACTCAGGAGGCTGGGACAGAAAGATCTTATGTTCCAGGCCAGTCTGGGTTACAAACCAGCAAATTTATAAAGCACTATGGCCAGCGGAGGGAGACAGGGGAAGGAGGAGGAAAAGAGAAAAAAGGAAGCAGTGGCAGCATAATAGTTTAGTACAGAAAATGATGTTTTGTCTCTACATTTGAACCAGTTGAACTGTATTTTCATTTTGCTCTGAGGCTCACAAATTATGTAACTGGACATGACTGGGCTAGTTTAAGTAGTAAAGGATTAATGGATAAAATAATCTCTCAAAGCCACAGAGCAAGGTTTAGAAAATATGCAGTTAGAAACAACTTCCAGGAAAAAATTATTCCTAGAAGAATGCACATCTCACATTAGTGTTATTCTTGTGGAAACCCATCCATACAACCCACCGGTCAGTCATCATTCGTCACACCAGAAATAAATGTTAGCACTCCTCTCAGAAGAACCAGATAGTCTCACCACAGTGTTTGTCCAAAAATCTCATTTTCTCCAAATACAGGTGAATCACCATGTTGCTCACTTTCAGAAATATACCTTGAACTGGTGCATTTGATTGCTGGAAATTAAACCACATGCTGATGCCACATTCTGATTGTTAGCATCCTTTCCAATTAATTCATATTTAAGTAAAGTCATTCTGATGGCTTGGGAGTAACTTTGGGAACTTGAATACTAAATATCTGGGATTTCACACTCTTTTTGGCTGGCATTAAATATTTATCATCACACTGACTAATCTCATGTTAGCACCCTAGCTGCAAGGGAGTCTGAACCAGTTTATCTGTCAGTTTCTAAAGTACAGACTTGCAAGCTAGAAGGTTGTGGTGCTTAATCTTCATTGTTAATGTGATTAGATTTAGAATTATCATGGAAACATAAGGTCTACAAGGGTGTTTCCAGAAAGGTTTAACTGACATGCAAAGACCCACTCTGACTTGAAAAGCTCTATTCTACAAGCTGTTCCTGAATAAATTAAAAGGTTAAAGTGGGCTGAGCACTAGAATTCATCTTTCTCTGCTGGACAAAATAGAAGCAGTTACCACACATCCTCTTTACTATGTCTTCCTCTTATGGACTGACTATATTTCTTAGAACTTTAAACCAAGATAAATTCTTCCCTTCTTATGTTTCTTCTTGTCAGGTGTTCTGCCACAGTGAGAAAAGGTGCTAATGCAGAGTGGACTGGCTTGGTGAACAAGCCAATACCTCCCGCCCCCTCCAGCACATAATACAGAGGTCTTCGCCTACTATTCCAGATAATCAATTGCTAAGAAGCAAATGTCTTCAACTGATGTTGAAAAGGATTGGTACAGAAAGGTAGGAAGGCTCTAAGTAAAAGGATGAGATGATAAGTGCCGTCAATGAACTAAAATAATTGACAAATGTTAATTGCTATCATTAAAATACATTTCTTACCATTCCGGCATATAAATTCTGCAAAGATAACAGAACATGTCACCATATCTCTCATTATCTTAGCAAATGATAGTCACTAAAAAGAAAGGATATTTACATCCATATTTGGGATTTTACATATTGTACACAGAGTAGTCATCTGGATGTAAACTTTCACCCACATTATTAAATTTGAGTCTGATTACATACCTAAAAAGTTAAAATGATTTTCTCATCATTTCATAGATGAGAAAATAAACCGACAGTTATCAGACAAACTCACTTATCTAGTAAATTAAATTTTAAAACTCAGGGCTGGAGAGATGGCTCAGTGGTTAAGAGCATTGCCTGCTCTTCCAAAGGTCCTGAGTTCAATTCCCGGCAACCACATGGTGGCTCACAGCCATCTGTAATGAGGTCTGGTGCCCTCTTCTGGCCTGCAGACATACACACAGACAGAATATTGTATACATAATAAATAAATAAATAAAATAAATAAATATTTAAAAAAAAAAAAAAAAATTTTAAAACTCAGTCGCTAAGTGAAAATGCTACAACTTTTTTTTTCCAGGAAGAACATATTTATAAAACCTATTAAATCGTGGTTAGGAGACTGTTATCAGGTTTTTTATTTGATCATCAACTTTAAATTACACATAATAGAAAAAATATTCCCATCTCACATTTTTCAAGAATGGACATTATTTTCTTAGGAGTTCTAGAAGAATGTGAAACAAGGTTGTAAGTGCCTTTTGAAAAAGTAAACAATGTTTCAAGAGGCAGTGGTCAAGAATCTTGTTCTAGAAAGAGCTAATATTAATTTGATACCTTTACTTTTCAGGTAGAAACAATATAATTTAAAAATTATGTATGGATTTCATAAAAATATAATCTAGGATTCTCCATTTTATACTGCTTGAGATACACAGGGTTGGCTGGTGGGGTGCTAATACAGATTTCCATTTCCCATTCCCCCAAAATGTGATTTAGTAAGTGACAAAAATATTACACCTTAAAAAATACACTAAATGCCACAGAATACCAGTGGAAATCACTGACACTGTCAATCTGACATTCTGTTTGAATCAAATGAACCCAAGGCTTGTGCGTGGTTGTCTTATTTTTAAATCACTTTAGTCTTTTAATACTTAAAATCAATTTTTAAAAATTTCCCTTGTACTATAGCTGCTGGTAAATTATGCCCTAGTCTTGCCATTTATTATTATGCTCTTGAGAGTAATTTACTGTATTGATCGGTCTCAGATCACCCTAAGCATAAATTCCTATTAGCATTTATGATATAGAAACCTTCTTTTAGTGATGTGTCCCTTTAAGCCTTTTGATTTTATGTGATAACCCACAATGGCTGCAAACAAGGTGCTTTCACACCACTCCAAATACAAGGCAATATGATAACCAGTAAAACACACCTGTATAATTTTGTAAGTGGGACAGAATGAGCTCGACTTTGGATGGCTAATGACTGTCAAGTGTCCTAATTCCGGTGGCAAATTTCAAAGCTGACACCATAGTTTCTGGTCCTATCACTTCAATTTTTTTGTGGGGGGGGTTAAAGGACCCACAAAGATTAGTTTTTAAGAGAAGCCCTTGCTTCACATGTGAGAAAACTGAGGCCTAAAGAAACCAAATTATTTGTCCAAGGTCACGCCCAATATTAGTGACCAAGTCAGAAAAAAAAAAAACCCATAGGTTCTAATTTAACACACAAACCAGCAACATCTGTTTCCCCAACACCCCACAAACTCTAACTTCATCATTTCCATCACCGTTCAGGCTCCAAATAAAGGTTTTTGTTTTGTTTTGTTTGTGTGTGTTTGGTTGGTTTTTGTCTAACGGTCCTACCCCACCCCGTTTGGCTTCTGTGTCAATCCTGCCCAACGCGTTCATGAAAACACGGTGACTTTCATGAGCCTTTTTCCTTAAGCCAAAATTTTCTCTGAAAGGCTCTCAGGGCTCAGCCCCGGGCTGGGAGAGGAGTGGAGGGAGGTGACTGGGGCAAACAAGTCTTTACGTGTTCTCGCTCGTGCCGCCGCGGAGGAAACCACGGCGAATGTCCTCCTCCGGGGAGTGGGGGGGGGGGGGGGAGAAAAACACGACGGTGGGAAATCCCTGTGCTGTGCCTCTGCCAACCCTGGGCAAAGCTGGGCAGGGCCGCGCGTGAATAAATCTCCTTAAGTGGCCGGGCGCAGACACTGCAGCACCGCAGCGGAGGGGGGGGGGGGGGGGGCGAGGAGGAGCGCGCGCCGCCCGCCCGCGGGGCCGGGAGGAGGGAGCGAGCGCCAGGGCGGCCCTTTTATAGGCCGAGGCCCGCGCGCCCCCGCCCCTCGCGCTGGCCCGGGCTGGGCGCACAACCGCCGCGTTACCTGAGAAGGGCCGGCCCAGCCAGCGCCCCGCCCGGCCCGTCCTCCCTCCTTCCCTCCCTCCCTCCCTCCCGCAAGGCCCGGGCCGCACGAGATCTGCGCCGCGCCTCCCTTCTCCCGCGGGCGGGTTCCCTTACCTTGTACGGGGAGGTGGGGGCCGGTTAAAAATCCTGTCCGCGGCCGCCTCCCCGCCTCCTCTAGGAGGACGTGAAATGGCGGTGGGCGAGGCAAGCGCCAGGAGCCGCCAAAGCCCCGCGCCCCTCGGAGCCTATCCATGACATCGGCGCTCCCCCAGCCCCGCCGCAGTGACCCGGCCCACAGGCCGAATCATCGATTCCCCGGCGCGCGCCGCGCGGCCCGGCTTCCCGCCAGCCTCTCCCGAAGCCGCGCGCTCCAGGCCCAGGGGTGAACCCCCATCCTCGCCCCTTAACCGGGTTCTCGCCGGGGCGCGGGCGCCCACCCGCCGCTACCCGCCCGTCGGCACCCTCGCGCGCACACTTCCACACACACACACTCACACACACACACACCCCTCCTCCCCTCCCCCAGTGGTTGCGTCCGTGACATCATCATCATGGCAACAAGAGCTGCAGCCTGGGACCGAGGAGCCCGTGTGATTCCCGGCGGCGGCGGCCGTGGCGGCAGCACCAGCGGCACCACCCGACCCGACGACCGTGCCAGGGCTTCCCTCCCGCTGCCTCTCGCCGGCTGCGTCTGAGGAGGAGGAGGCGGCGGCGGCAGCCCCACAGCCCCGTTGCCCCGTTACCCCGCGCGCCGCAGCCGCCGCCGCTCGTCTCGGCGTCCGCGTGAGGGGAGGGCAGACGGAGAAGAGAGCCGAGCCGAACCGAGCCGAGGAGGAGGCGCCTCTGCGGAGCCGCCGCCGCCGCTGCCGCTGCTGCCGCCGCTGCCAGGTCGCCCGTGGAGGGGAGGCGGTGGCGGCGGCGGCGAACATGTTTTCTGTGAGGATAGTGACTGCCGACTACTACATGGCTAGCCCGCTGCGGGGGCTGGATATCTGCCAATCCCCCCTCACCCAGCTGCCTGTCAAGAAGGTGCCGGTGGTTCGAGTCTTCGGAGCGACCCCGGCAGGTAAGCGGGAGCGGGCGGGGGCGGGGGTGCGAGCGGCGGGGTGTTGGAGGTGTCGGGGGTGCCCTCCCCGCCTGGCGCTGCCGCGCGCGCCGCCGGCCCTCTCCGGGGTCGCTGCGGACTCTTCCTCTCTTCTCTCCGCTCGCCTTTTCTCCCGCGCGTGACAAGAGGCAAAGGGGGAAAAAATGTGGGTTCGTGCGAGCGCTGCGCCCCCGTCCGCGACAGACAGGCAGCGGGCGCGGGGTATGGACTGTGCGGGCGGCGGGCGGGCTAGGTCCCTCTCTCGCTCGCTGGGTCCGGGGGGCTGTGCCTCGTCCCCAAGGACGAGTTGGCGGGGTCCTTAGAGGTCGGTGGCTGATGGAACCCCGGGTACCCGCTGCACCTCCTCGGTGCCCTGTTCTAGAAATGGCTTTGCGATTAGAGGGGAAGTGTCAGCCCCGTGGTCAGTCGCTCCCCGTTGCCTCCTTTCACCCTCGCTCTCCTCTGCCCCTGCCGGAGATGCTTTGGCTGGAGAAAGTGGCGCCCGGAGCCAGATAATCTTTCTCATTGAAGTGACCATGTGGCTGTGCCGCGAGTGCAGGTCGTGACTGCTTAGAGTTTATGCCTCGGCGGGGACAGAGCGGCATCCTCAGGTGCAGTGCTTTCAGGAAATGTGCACCATGGAAATAGGAAATACGTGTTTGTGTCGCCCAGCATAAAATACTACACTTAATGGGGGTGAATTCGTCAGGAAACACAGCCAAGCTCAGCACCATAGGCGTTTTAAAATGCCTCTAGGCTGGGTTGTAGGGTTGCATTTTAGAAATAGATTTTAAAAAGTATTTTGAAGAAATGGTGGGGAAAAAATGACAGAAGCTATGTTCTGGAACGCTCGTTGGGAATTTATAATACAAATAGAATAGTGGCCAAATATGCAAGGTTTTTGTGTTTTTATTTTTCAGTTTTGCTTTTTACATGCTTTAAACTGTTAAGGTGAAATGCTAAAGCGGTATTCTGGAGGCGGATGCTCTTACCAAGGAATTGCCCTATGGGATTTTAGATAGCATTTCCCACTTGATGCTCCTTGCCCTCATCGCCATTCATCTTTATTACTACAGTCAGCTTCTGTGGGCTACCAAGATAATACCACTTTCCAAAATACAGGCACCCATTCGAAGCTATCACCTTTTCATGTGACTTCTCTTTGTTAAAAATGCCAATGCGATAAATAAGATTTGGTAAAAGACTCCTTTTTCAAATAGTGGGAGTTTGACGCTGTGAACCTTTGAAGATAGAGCATTTGAATGCTGTTAACAGCTGGTGGAGGGTACAGCCCATGGGACTTGAAGACTGGAAAATAAGAGGCATTCTGATATTCTGGAGGATAGGTTCTGTACCCTTTAAATGTCGTGGTGCTCTCTTTGTTTTGATTCGGAACCTGCTTGTTCTCGGCTCAGCTGCAGAGAATGATAGTGAAGTTGATTTTCAGGTCGTAGAGCAATACGTTCTATGACTAGTAGATACTTGTGGTGGTGGTCCAGTCTGGATGGTGGTTGAGTTACTTTTCTACGGTTTTGGTTTTTCTTGCTACACTCACTAAATATGTATCTCTGTGTGATTGTAAAACTGTATTATGTAGGAAAGTTTTGTTTGTTTGTTGTTTCACTAATAGCCCAATTCTGTGAAAGAATAGCCTTTACAGATAGACTGTGGTGTATACACTTGTGTTTCTGGATATTGGAATGTGAACTATTTCATAAGGAATATTTATTTCTTCTCTTCGTCCTGAATATCTTACAATTGGTCGCCAGCCCTAGTTAAAAAGGAGAAAGAAAAACTCACTGTTTTTATGGTGTTCTTCGAAATAATACAAATGAATAAAAAATACTTTTCATACAGGCAAAACCAAATTTCAAATTGCTAAGTATTATCAGATTGAAAGAGGTATACTCAGAGGCTTAAACAAAAATTTGTTTCAAGCATGGCACATGGATGAATGTAAATGTCAGCTTAGGACTCAGTAATTCACTCATTAATGTATGTATGTTAATAATTTACTTGGTTGGGATATGCCTTGGAGTTGAGGTCAAGAGAGAAAACAATAAAATAATTCCTTACATAGTATAAAACAAATCTTGTTTCCTCAACAAGAAGAAAATTGAAATCCTTGGCATATACTGAAGGTCTGCAGTTTTCATAAATCAAACATTTTAATGTCAGAAACCCCCAGTAGAATTAGTATTAATTCAATCTCAAGAAAAAATAAGCTGCAGAATTTTCTGCTTTTGAATTCTCTTCTTAAAGAAAACTAGTCTAGGCCATGTAGAGAAATAAAACTTAAAAATAATTAATGTAATGGAGAGGCTAGAATATCTTATTAAAATCTGATGCTTTAATCCCAGCATTTGGGCGGCAGAGGCAGGTGGATCTCTGAGTGTGAGGCCAGCCTGGTCTACAGAGTTAGTCCCAGGACAGCCAGAGCAGTTAGACAGAAACCCTGTCTTGAAAAAATTGTGAATGCTAGACTTTGTATTGAAAACAAATTTACTACTACAAAATGCAACTAGTTCATATCTTTACTAACAAGCAAACTACAGGAATGAAAATTGTAACACCCGATAGTCCATGAAGCGCCATGAACATGTTTTCCCTTTTTAGGTGCTAATTTTGGAAGTCCTTAATCTTTTACTTGGGTTTGGAGAAAAGATTTTTTTTTTATTTTCTTAAACAGAATTTGCTTTTCAAAGGAGGTCCTGAAAAATAGCATCAGAAGAAAATTTCTCTCAAAATGGCTATTTAAGAAGTATAAATTTCAAACTGATTGGAAGACTGCTATTGCATGAAAAGTAATTTTCTGCTTTAGGAAACAGTCCAGTTAACTTTTATTGTCCTCTTTTAAGGACATATTTGCGTAATGTACAAAAATGTCTTGGATTTTAAGGACATATTTGTGTAATGTACAAAAATGTCTTGGTAAATTTAAAAGTCTCTGTGTTTTGAGTTAATGAAATTTGAGAATATTATTTTTTCAAGTAGCGTGTTCAAGCTTGAATTTGGAGTTCTAACTGATGAATTTGATCATCTGCTAACTGAAGAATGGTGATTTCCTATAGAAGTCACTTAATTTTATTTTCATGTGAATGATGGAATTTAAAAAAACCTTTTCGTTCTTTCCAACTCATTACAGCTTTTTACCTTTATTTGCGTGCGTGTGTGTGTGTGTGTGTGTGTGTGCGTGCGCGCGCGTGTGTGTACATGCACTCCAGCACCCTGTATGTGTGGAGGTCAGAGGGAATCCTTCCACCCGGTGAGTTCTTGGGATCCAATAGGTTACCAGGCTCAGGCAGCAAGTGCCTTTACCAGCTAAGTCTCCTCACTGGCCCTAGACTCGTTTTTAAAACCCTTTTGAACATTATTTGTATGTTCCTGTGTCCCAAACATTATCATTTATAGAAAAATGTGTTTTTCTTTTATAACAATGTTCTAGTAATTTTTCTTTGTGGAAAGAGAGCAAGATGATGACTGAAGTATGGGATTCATATCTGAATGTGGGTGTGACTACTCAGGTGAGGAACTGGATGCTGTCCAGTTTCCACATCTCTCTCTCTTGCTTCCTTACTTGATGTAGCTCCTTCACGCTGAGCTTGGACGGTTCTCCGCTTTCTCAGCACCAGGTTAAACATATTATCCTTTCAAAGAGCGTCCCTGCTGAGATGCAGAGTAGAGTAAATAAAAGGGCAAGGTGTTCACTAACCAAGTCCTGAACCAAAGTAAGCAAGACAAACTATAGAGGGAGCTGTTTGCCTTCCTGATGACTGCCAGGAGCTTACTACTGCTCTCCTGTGACTTTCCTCCTACTTGGTGACTGTTTTTATAGATTGTTAGAGATAGTAACATGAAATCCGGTGGTTCTTTTTTTTTTTTAAAAAAACATAGATTCTAATTTTGAATTCTACATGAATATGGGGCTTCTTTGACTGAGTGCATCTTCTATTTTATAAACCTAGCTGTAATGAACTATTATAATGACCTGTTTTGGTAAGTTGGTAGATTATTAAATACATTTTTATGAGTGTGGTTTTGAAAACTATAGCACTTAACTTAGGTTCTCAAAAAAATTGAGAATCTTGTTTACACTTAGCTAAACATTCAAAAATATCTTAAGATCATGTAAGACCTATTTAGTTATAATTATTAGAGATTTTCAGGAGCATACAGAGATCTAGTTAGGCTAATCACAAACAAAATTTGACCACTTTAATAAATATTTGAAGTCCCAAATAGAAAGCTTTAATAGTTTTATGTATTATATTTGACTAAAGTCGTAATCAACAAATTAGAAGCAGGCAGGAGCCCTCTTGATTCTGGAATACTGTGGAGAAGCTTAGTGTATATCAACATAGTCTGTGTGCCTTTGTTAAAGCAGCATTACCTTCCAGAAACGC